AACCTACAGCCTGGAATTCTTTCTCAAAGGTAGAAATGGAGAGCTTTCGTGTTTGTTGCTAACGTGGACTTTTTCTTTTAAATCTATCTGCTGCTTTTTTTTTTTTTCTTTTTCTTTTTTTTTCCTTCTTTCTAAACAAAGTGGAGGTGGTGATGTGTCTCCTTGTCTGGAATCAGGTTAGTATTCTGTCAGTGTGAGGCAGAGCTGGGTTGAATTCCCATCTTTTTCTGTTGAAGTTCATGTACACGTCTCCTATGGGAAAGACCATAAGGTTTCAGTAGTGAGTTTCCCAAAGTGGGACTCCTGTTCTCTCCTTCAAAACATCTTTGCAAGGAAGAATCAGAGCTGGGACAGCATGAACAGACAGGGATCTGTGTCTTCTTAGCTTAGTGACACACATATTCACATAGCAAGGTGAAGTCCTGAGCTTATGATGCTCCTCTGAACTCTGTGCATGAGCTTCCTTAAATGACTGTGCAGTGAAATGTGGGAGGGTCTGAGAGAAATGATAGGAGGGTTTATGGCTCCCCAGACAGAGCTGAGCTGAGTCGTGTTATTCTGAATGGCTTCTGAAGAACTGGGCAGCTGTGTGGAAAAATACCTAGTAATAATAATTGAAAAGAAAACAGTCAAACCATCACAGTTATGTTTCGCCATCGCAGTGGAAACGGCGATTCTTTTATGTTGCGTGGCATCCATTTTGCATGGTCAGTATATTCAGAAAACCCATGAATCAGGCAAGCTGGGCAGAAGAATGTTATGTGAATTCCAATGCCATTTAACCCTTTTTTCAAGCTAGCAGGTAATCCAAGGGTCAGGAGGCTATTAAAGTTGGAAATGGAATTGAGTGGGAGCAGAGACTTTCTAGATGTCGACATGCAGCAGCCAAATGCAGAACAAATCCTTCCAGAGGAATAGTGAAGTTAATGTTTATGTCATGTGTGCTGTTCTTTGATTGGAAGAGTTTATCTGCTGACTTCAGGTGTGTTTTGGCCAATGTTAGAGCCCTGACTTGGGCAGAATAGAAACTGAAGTCTAAATGGTGTTTGCCCTTTTTTGACTACACAGTAGCAATTCCTCCATGTAGAGATGCCCTGAGGAGTACCTGGCACTTCTGAAGGTGTTGTTGGAGTGGTTCTGGGTTACCTCTGTTGCAGTTCTAAACTGAATCGTGGGGTGAAGTCCTGGAAAGGACAGTTGATGGGATGTGTTGGTTGGTTGACTTGAAATTGCCTCCATGCAGGTGGCTGCTGCTTGGAAGAAAGCTCACCCCTGGGAGGCTGACACTGACTGGGTTCTAAAAGCTTTCGTTTCAAGTGCCTTATGGTTTTAAAATAGCCATAATCCACACAAGGTCTCACCTAAATAACATGTTATACTGGGATCCTGCTATTGCAGGGAGGGTTTAAACCAGAAAGTACAAAACAGTAGGAATGGAAAATGATCTGTAATTAGCTCAGTAGCAAATAGCTGTAATGTTCATCAGGTGCAGTATTTCCTAATTGTTCTTACAGCAGAAATCTGCAGTGCAGCTTCTTGCTGTCCTTGAGAAAGGTGGAAAAATTGTAGAGGTGTCCAGATGTGTTGCTTCTGTAGAGTTTGCTTTCTTCCAGTAACACCTGGGGTGACAAACCAGGTACTCCAGACCTGCATTCCAGCTGAAGCCATGCATCTGTGGTTTCTCTGAGGAAATATTTTGGAGAAAGAAGTGATGTAGGTATGATAACAAAGGTTGTGGTAAGGCTGTTTTTTGTAAAATGACAAAGAATATACCAGTCACAAATCATAGAATTGTAGAATATCCCAAATTGGAAGAGATCCAACAAGGACCATTGAGTCCAAACCGTGGCTCCACACAGCATCATCCAGACCCTGTGGGTGAGAGCCCTGTCCCAACACTCCCTGAGCTCCAGCAGCTCAAGGCTGTGCCCACTGCCCTCCAGGGCAGGGCCTTTCTGTAACATTCAGAGAAGCTTTTTTCTTTTTTTTCCCCCCTCCCTTTATCCTGCATTCTGACCAGTTCAGATGTTGTCTAAATCCCCTTCCCTTCCCTTCCCTTCCCTTCCCTTCCCTTCCCTTCCCTTCCCTTCCCTTCCCTTCCCTTCCCTTCCCTTCCCTTCCCTTCCCTTCCCTTCCCTTCCCTTCCCTTCCCTTCCCTTCCCTTCCCTTCCCTTCCCTTCCCTTCCCTTCCCTTCCCTTCCC